TTCTGGTTTTTTTCCAATTAAAAAAAAAAAAAAAAAAAAAAAGGAAGAAAAAAACCCAAACACAAAACCTAAAACCTAGTGTTATCTCTTCAGGTATTGTGTGCAAGGAAACAGAGTGATCAAAAGAAATGGAGTTCTATGCTGCTGCTGTTTTAGTACAATGAAGAACATGAAAGCTCATGCTACCCCAGTGCTTTGAACATGAGAACTAGGACTAATGCCAACTAGAGCTGATCTATGTGGCTTCTATTATGTTCATACTGCAAGGAGGAAGTAATTAAGCTTGTTTTTAGCTTCACGTTCTTCAGAAGTGCCATCTCTAACCAAGTTCAGTACAGACTTTCAGAAGTTCTCACTGAAGTCACTGCTTAAGCAGACTGAACACAAATGGGCATCTCTCATGAAGGACAGTAGGTTTCTCTTATGCTTCCGTTTGTTTACTAGCTTTTCTGTGTTAGTAATGTAAAACTTAAATATATATTTCTGTGAAAATAATTAGCCATTTTTTTTCTTGATTTCAGTAAGACTTAGGCCTAAATGTTATTTCATTTGGTTAATAGCTCCTTGCTTTTATTAACAGATTGATCTTTTTACTGTGTTTGAGATAATTTTGACATTTATGTGACAGTCTTTTATATATCATGTTGCCAAACCATAGTTTCTTGGTACTTAATGCTTTAAATATTTAAATTTTTCCTTCTGAAGCCATAACATAAATACGGGGAGAATTCATGTGGAGCTGCTTCTAGAAGTTTCAGTCATGCCTTATTAATTTCTTATTTTGTATTTTGCAGTTCTCTCTTTTATGATCTTTCTAAAGAATTACTTATTGTATTCAGGGATTTGGCGGCACACAGTCCAGACTCTTGTCCTCAGAATCAGTAACACACCTGTTTTGCTGGTTTCCTGTCTTTTCTATTGATCAATTTATATTTTGTCTCATGCTTTTCCATTAATCATTGCAAATTACCTTATTACCTTATTTACCTTATTGGTAAAAGATGTATAGGCCATTGGTAAAATAACTAATTAGTTAACTTTTAAAACAGATCTTAAATTAAATGATTTCTCAGCATTAATAGACTTCTTGGCAGGAAACCTGGGCTGATCTATAAAGATACATTTGTGACCTGCCTTTAAGTATTTCATTCCCACCTACTTGCACATAGAATGTCACTGAATGGAGGCACTTGGGGCAAGCTATGTAGCTGGGTTATGTACATGGAGAGGGCTAAAGCTGTGACCAGAAAAGTTGGGAGGAGGATGTGAATTGTTTTCCCTGGTTCCTCTTTGAATTAATGTTCAAGGTCTTAATTAGAATCTTGTGGAGTATTTGTCTTCATATTAAATTTAAGTTAGTATCTGAACGCATGGAACAGTTCATATCTAGGAGTTTTAGCATCTTCCTGCTCAGTCAGTCCCTTCAGAAGATACCACTTCTAAACAATTTGTAAATGTTGAGAGGAGGGAAGGGAGCCCCAGTCTTCTCTCACTTAAACATTTGTTTGCCAAAATAGGTATATAAGGAACATTTTAGCTATGTGTAGAACTGTGAGACTTTAATTTTTATGATATAATAATGATGAAAGAGATAATAAGGGAGAGTATTTGTGAAGAACTAAAGTTACAGGGATAGGAACTGCAGACAGTCAGAGGCATACATAGGAAACAAGGTTTCTTTCTTCTCTGTAGAGCAGCTTACTGATTTGACAGTTTTATGAGGGATGGTTCATAATTTCCAAAAACTTTCAGAGACTGAAGAAAATTTACTGTTTCCCTATATTAGACCTATTCATTATAAATGGTTCACCAAAAGTCTAAACTTTCTGCACTTTGAAAAAGAGACTTGTAACTGGGCAAGGAGAATCACCTTAGGTTCAGGTCATTTTTGTCTTTATGATGAAAGTCTAGTTTGACTAGACTTCTAAGTTCCTTATTGCTTATTGTAGGCTCTGTATAGGATTTTAATATTTCATAAATGGGTTTTCTGAGTATACTTCAAGTCTGGAGCAGTGCAATCTGAGCAGAATTCATTTTTCTTGCAAATTTTCCTTGATTACTGTGGTTTCAGTGCTAAAAACCAGGACAGTTGTGTGCTGTTGTTATCAGATGTTAAAACTGAGAGAAGGATGATATTTCTATTTGATGTCAAAGCAGTTTAGAAAAGGAGGGGCATGATTATGCTGTTTTCCTAATACTTTTTTATTTTCAGATAGTTGAAAGCAACTGAGAAAGTGTTCCTCCTATCCCTCTAGCAGATGTTCCAGAAGGAAATAGCTTATTACTGCTATCAGTTACTTCTTCGTGTGCATTAAAAAAATAGTTGTTAATCATATAATTGCTAATTATATGATCATGTATTGGGGATTTGTGGGTTTATTCAAGGCCAAGCCATTCAGCTTTTCTAGTTTCTCAACATGATCCCTAACTACTGGCTGAGTGAAAAACAGTACGCTGGCTAGTTTGAGCTGTGCTTTGCTGACTGTCCTGCGTATGCTGACTGGTCATGGAACAGGACAAATATACCTACATTTTCATGAAGATTGTAGGAAATAAATGTCTTTGATAACACTGCTATATCTTGCTAAAATTCAACAGAAGTTATTTGGTGAGGGAATAGAAGTGAACCGAAACAAATAGGAAGCATGATCATGTGAAACTTGGTTCCTTGTTTTCAAATATGTTACTAAAAATTCATGTTATGCATGTAACTAACATGGAAAGTTTTAGTCTTAATACAGAGGGGTTGTCTGGAGTAATGCGTCTAGAAGTGGATTCCATGACGGAAAATATTTTGTTTTAAAAGTAGTTAGTCTTCCATAGTGAAGTGAGAGAAATGTATTGGACCTCACACCTTGTATTTTGATACATTAAAGAGTTGCCAAAAGAGGGAAACAGCAAGAAGCTACCAGTTTTGAGAAGACTGGAAAGATGGGGCTCAAATTCTGAACAGAAATTTCGTTGACTTTGACTTTAATCTTGGTTGTTAATGACAGAATTTTATGATCTTTGTTTTGGAATAGGCTGAAGACATGGAAAAACTTCTTCTTTTTTTTTTTTTTTTTAAAAAATTTCTTCAACACAATGGTCTCTATTTGCACACATTTATAGGAAGAGGAGGTAGGGCCAAGACTAGGAAATGCCTATAGATACCCTATCTGCTTTTGACAAATTCATGCATTGTGTCTGATAACACACCTTAAATCCCACGTGTTGCGTCTGATACCACACCTTAGATCAAAGGGGATTTTCAGCTTTAAGAGGCTTCCCCTGGGCAAGACTGGGAGTGAAGGTGTATTCACAAGACTAAAACTGGCAGCTGATCTTTCAGACTGAGAACTGATGGGGTGTTGTAGTGGCAGGCACACAAATGGGTTGCAGTGGGCATTTTTTGAGCCAGAAGTATTCCTGAATCACAAATTGGGAAAAGGTTGGGCATACCTTGACCACAGAAGACGGGTTGAATTTTGCTAAGAAAGTATGCGTAGAATGTGGAACCTACTTTAACATGGCAGTCTAGTTTACTAAATGCCATGTGTCCCTTCGCATGCTGTTTCTCTCTTCCTACCTTGAAAAGTACTTTTTACTCAAAAATTATTTTAATATCTTACCAGAACATACATGTCAAGAAGTCTGCTTACCAAATGATTTTATGTGTACTACCAAATACACTTCAATGTTTAGGAACTGGAAGAGGCACAGTGAGCTAGTCATAATTACCAGGTTTAATCCTAAATCTTCTTTTTCATATAAATTTTTTAGGAATTTTTCCTTACTAGTTAATACATATTAAAGGTTGTTCTTCAGGTTAAGCCTTTGAGAGATTGTGTAAAAAAACTAATGAGCTTGTTCTGTAGAGAATATATTAAGTTCCTTTAATGTGTGTAACTATCTTGAAGTACATATCAAAATACTTTTAAGTTATTTTTTTCCTGGTACTCCATGATACGTTCCTTGCACAATTATGGATTTTGGAACAAATATTATTTTACCTCTGTGAGGAAATGGTTCCATAATTATCCTAATGCTTGCATAATTAGAAAGCTGCTTGCCAAATTTAACTGACAAATTCCAAGTCCATTTTGCATGGTGGGGGCGGGGGGAACATAAAACATGGTAACTTTTAATAGAAGTTAACTTCTGTTTTTCCTTTCATACTTCTTATGGATGTTGAAACTATTTCTTTCCAATTTGCAAGTAAAATTATGTAATTTTTTTTCTGATAGGCAGCACTGTACAGAATAGGAGGGCTGGCTTCCTCCACCCATATTCTGAGGCTGTTTTGGGGGCTGCCCTCAAGCTCTGCCAACATATCTCAGTCCTGACTTGTAAGATCTCCTGCTGCTGCTGCTGCCGCAGTTCTAGGCATCTCTTCAGAAGTGCCTGCCAGTAGCACCGATTTCTTCCAACTGGTGCAGTAGTTTTCTGGTGTGCACAAATGGGGGCTGAGAAAAGACCACCAAAACTTATTTCCACTTGTGACCTAAGGCAAGGTTTGAACTCCAGTTTCCGCTGAAAAATGGGAAGTGTGCTGTTGGCCTTCTGTGCTCTTCAGCTGCGTGGATTTAGTGCTTTACATGGCTACTGAGTAAAATGTTGTTGTCTAAATGTAAGCTGAAAACAGTCATTTTAAGATCATGAAATTAAAGGGTCATAATAAAAACATGAAAGAGAATAGTTGAGGTGGCACTTATAAAGTGAAAACAAAAGTGTATGTATGTGTGTGTGTGTATATATATATGTGCACATATTTATTATTCCATTTTCAAAGTTGCCTCATGTTTTCCTCACAGTATCTATATATATTTTATGCATAACTCTTTGTATTTAAATACCCATATTCTTTCACTTCCATTTAAAAACTGTGAATCACAACAAAAATGCTATAAGAACATCTAAGGTAGATAATTAAAGTATAATTAAGTTTAAATGCCTTGGTGAAGGAATATAAAAATATTTAAATTCAACAGGCTAGTACATTTGCAGTTTTCTTTTATTAGGTGTGAAATCTAAGAATCCCCTGCCAACTCTTGAGGGCTCAATCCAGAATGTTGAATTGAAGTACTGCGGCACATCATTGGTCAAATGTGCCTCTGGGACCGTGGGATCAATAAAAATTTGTGCCAAAGCCCCAGGTATGTGCAGCTGGACCATGTAAAACTTTATTGCCTGTATAGGAGAATTGGCCTTGCTTTTTACAAGGAGAGTTACTGAAACAAGAATTTACTCATTGTTCCTATGAATCAGAGAGGGGTTTTTGTATTCTGTTTTGGGTTTTTTTATTATTATTGTTAAGTGTGCCAGGATGATCCAGTCTGGCCCCAGTATAGTCAATTTTTACACTGAATAAAAAGTAAAGATTTTTTTTCCGCTGGGACAATTAATCTAAAAGCACTGAAGAAACTAGAATAACTCTGTATTTTCATATTACACAGAATATTTGCATTTTTCTTTATTTGTAGCATAATTTTGATGTATTCTGGTTATTGTTTAATGTCTCATTTTCCATTAATGCCACAAGTATGTATTTTGCTTGTGAAGTTTTTAAGGGCTCTGTGATAAGTAGTTTTTAAATTTCTTTAATAGAATTTTTCTTGAAGAGTATGCAGGAACTTTTCCAATCAATGTATAAGATTTCTTCATATGTAAAGGCAGCTAATGTAAAGAACGCTAAAAATGTAGTGTATTTAAATTGTGTTCATGGTGATCTTTAAAGATACTATTTTCCAAAGTTGGGATGGAAACTAGTATTTTAAAGAGAATTGATTTCTTTATTTGAAATCCTCCTGGATGTAAAGACATTTACAAGATAACATGAAGGAAGTTGTTTAATAGTTTATGTGAGATTGCTCTTGCTATTTCCTCTTTTAATTCTGTACTTAAAATGTTAATAGCTGTTCTCTTTGGATGAGTGAATGTTTATGTGATGAAAATTTATCTTGTTACAGTACAAGATGTAAGGAGTCTAACCTTTGTCTTAGGTGATGGCGGAAAAGAGAAGCTGATTCCTTTGATTCAAGGCCCTTCTGACACCAGAGACTTACACAGCAGTAAATGGCTCAATGAGAGTAGAAAGCCAGAATCTCTCTTAGCTCCAGATTTGGTAGCCTTTACAATCCAAATTCCACAGTATATGGACTACTGCCATAACTCTGGTAAGTGCAAAACTCTTGTTAAGCTGATATCTCATTACATTTTTCCTATCCAGTGTAATTTCCAAGAGAGGCTTGATATAAAATGTGACAAATGCCACAGTATCTTTTTCACACACTGCGCACATTATAACTTCAGCTCACTGAGAGGCACAGAAACTAAAAGCAGCATTTTAATGTATGTCTTCTTCAATAAGGAATGCTTCATTGACTTTGGTTGTCTTTTAAATTATTTATGCAGAACCTTTTGTAAACTTTTTTTGGGAGGCAAGATCCATGTTGAAAACATTAGTTTTATTCTTTCTTTCCTTTATCTGATTGAGCTTCTTATATAGAAGCTTATACATAATTCTGTATTCTTATATAGAATTCAAAATTGTTCATAGAAATTTGCACCATAACTTATAACTAAAATAAGAATTTGTTTATCATTAAATTTGTTAATAATAAAAAGATACTTTTTAAAATGCTACAGAGCATGCATTTGACGTCAGGACACTTGGCGTTGTGGTGGATTTAAATAAGAAACAAGTTAATATTTTCATAGATTTGCTCAGATAAATTTAAGGGTGGTGTTGACTTTGTGGGCATAAGTACTCTTACCTGACATTCTTGTGGTTTCTATGGGCTTTAAACAAAACATTGGTCTGTTTTAAGCAACACTGACAATTTTGAAATGTATCTAGTTTAAAATAACTATAATTTGCAAAATATACATGGATCTAGGTTTTGCTGCCAATATGGTGCATATTAAAAATCATGCTTTTGTGTTTTCAAAAGTTTATCCTGTGGCTCTGCTAGGATTGTAATCAAATAGAGGAAAAAAAACCCCAAACAAATCCAAAAAGCATCTAGTTTAAAGAAAGCAAAAGAATTAGCTGACCCAAATATTATGCAACACAAAAGTAAACTGAAAAGTGTGCTTTTTTCTCTACTTTTTTTCATGTATAATGGTTGTTAAATGTCATTAGTCTGAAAAATAACAGTGAATTTACTACCATCTTTGTAATTTTTATGTGCATATGTAAGCAACATTTGATTCTTATTCAAAGTAAATATTTCTAACCTCTCTGCATTCCAGCAATTATTAGGTTATTTTTTTCAGTAACTGTACTTGGATGTTTCTTGGAGAGCACCACTTTCAACATGTTTATGGCAGTGCTTTTATAACAATTATCTTAAGTTCTTGCCCCTAAGACATTGCTGAAAAGCAATTCAACAGTCTCTGAATTATTCAGACCCATTTTTTAAAAAAAGTGAAAATCTGTTGCACCTGTTGTTTCACTTAAGTAGCTTTTAAATGTTCAGAGTAAAATAATATGTATTACTATTATTGATTATTGCATTTTCTGCCTTTTTTGAGGACCTTTTCAGTTTAATTTTCTGATATTTTGCCTTAGAATATTAATTACATTTTAAAGGACCTGTGCATACTTACCTATATTGTAGAATTATTGCTTTCATTACAGGTCACAATGATCATACTTTTTTTATCTCATCAGTATTACGGATAGCCCAATTAGATAGTTGAGAGCAGTACTTGATAGGCTGTGATAGGAGGTGCCTATGAGAATTAAGGCACTGGGAAATGAAGTGCTGGCCACACTCATGTGAGGAGACTTTGAGAGGCAGAAAATTGGTTTGTAATAGACAAGTGGCTGTTGTACCTGTTTTGGAGATGAATGGAGATGCATTTAAAATGCTAAGATTTCAGAACTGAAAATTTACTGGATACTTTGCCTGCTTCCCACCCCAGTGCCTCAGGAAAGTTCTATTGATTCTGTGTACTTAATGTCAGTCGCTAACCTGCATGCTCAGACTATCTCTTTTTCCCCACATTAGTAAGGTGGCATCTGTGACTGATGACAAATGAGAGGGAAAAGCTGACTGATGTGCTAAAGTTTTGGTCCCAGCAAACATGAAGAATAGTATACCACAATTTTTTATTTTTTATTTTTTAATTTTTATTTTTTATTTTTTATTTTTTTATTTTTTATTTTTTAATATAAGTTAAACTAGAAAATATTACAAAGGATGAGGGAATTAATTAAAGCTTTTGCTTTCAAATACTTGCTGAAGAAACTGAGGCAATTTAATATAGGAGATATGGCTGTCCTTTTCATTGCAACTGTGAAAACTACATGGAGAGCAAACGTGATTTGAGAGCATAAACATGTTTTTGCTTTCAGTTGCAGTCACTTCTGGGAATTAAGAAAGCTATACTGGATAATTTGACAGCAAATTCAACTTATACCTCAGGGGAATAAAAGGGTTATTTAAAGCTTTACTACTGGAGATGATTGTGCTGTACTGAAGTTGTTCTATTTGAGCAATTTAACCTTATAATGTTAGATATGATGTTCTGGAACAGAAATTTGGACTGCTGAGAAGAGTGAAGAGAGTAGTGCCACCTGCTTGTAGAAAGAATGGAAAAAGCTGTCCAGGAGAGAGGAGTAAAATAATCTAGAATTGTTTCTTGTTATCAGATTGCTGGAGATAAGGCCAGGGTTGGCCAAGTCTTTTAACTCTACAAAGTGCATATACGAATAGCTGTATAGCTGATGCTCACAAAGTATACACATGATTTCTCAAAAGAGCTAAGGGGACAGCAGTTCTAGTTTCGTGGGATTGGTTAAGTTGTCACCCAGCACTTGGATAAACTCACTTTACTTCTCCCCATATATAAGGATTCACAAAACTTTGCAAACTCAGTGTCAGTGGAGCTGCTTATTACACCGTGCAGTGGGGCAGGGGGGTGCATTGGAGCTGTACAAAGCTCCAGAGCTGCACGTTAGCCACCTCCATTAAGAAAAGAATGATATATCTTTTTGTGTGTAAAACCAAGAGAAGCAATTGCAGGGGAATTTCTGGGTACTCTAGGAGAAACCTGGAATACAACACAATGCCTGTGCAAGTGACTTTTTAAAGTTTTTAGCTTATATAAAAATTAATGAAGGGAGAATAATTAATCTGTATTATACATCTGTGAAGTTGAACAGAAAACAACTCGTTCTAAAATCAGAGCAGTTGTTCGGACGTAAAATACTGTGGAGGAGGTTGTACAAATGGCATGAGGTTCTTGAATAAATCAGGATGTATTTACTTTAAGAACGAGTAGGGAACCTTTCCTCCTCCTCTCCCTGTTGAGTCAGCAACTATTTACTGTCTTGTAGCACTCGAATCCTATGAACCAGGGTGACCAGGATGGTTGTGCAGCTTGCTTCTACTGCTTCTCTGTAGGTGGCCCTGCGAAGATTGATTGTGTATTTACAATTTGAGTGATAAAGCATTTTACAGTAGTGTTTTATTTCTTGCTATTCCACTTGTTGCTGCTGAGAGGAAGACAAAAAAAAGTTATTCTAATAATACCATCCTGCATTGATTATTACCAACAAAGAAAAAAACCTCTATAAAATGTAATTTCAGAAAGAGCAGCATTGAAGTATATGATGTATAGCATATAGAGGCAAAGTAAGTATTACGTATAACAAATGCATATACTGGTGATTTCTTAGTAAGAGTAATTTACTGTTTGATGTACAAAGTGTCATTAGCACAGTTGAAAACTCATACACCTATGTCAGAGGAAGTATTTAGGGACACAGAATATAAATATTATTTTGTTTAGTCCTTAAATACAACTCTGCATTGCTGGTGCTTTTTATTTTGGATACTTTTGTTGTTTGAAAAACTACCCAAGCTATCTCTGTGTATAGTTGTGAAAATCAGTGGATATGCTCCCTAATCTTTATCTAAACTGCAGCATATCAAATAAATACAAGAAAGGAGATTATTCCATTGCCCCAGGGCTTAGGAAGGTCTTCTTACTGCTTCTCTGAAATAACCCCAGCTTTATTAACCCTCAGAGCAAGTTGCAGACCTTGTTTCTTTCACCTGGCTTTTGAGAGAAATAGGGAGATTTCAAAATGAATGCTGGTGTTAGTATTTAATTATGAGCAGCTGTTGAATAGATGAGGTGAGCTGATTAACTCTGTTTGGTTTGCCATATTGAATAAGTGGGAGTGCATGCACAGCTGGTGTATGGAGAGCTTTATTTTATATATATATATTTTAAAGAGGAACTAAAATGAAAAATACAATTAATAAAGTTTTCTTTGAGATCAGCTTAAATATTTGGTGATGCAGCAGTGAAATAATAAGGGAGTAAACAAAAGTACCTGTGTTAATATCATGCTTGTGTGTGGTAAATTGATACACCCAGTGGAACAAAGTAAGAGTGAGAAGGCTTCTCTAGTTTGTGAAATCTGCATAAGGCTGAAGAGCAAGTATTCAACCTTGTAAAAGTTAGGAATTTCTCATTTAAGTGATATTTCTCCTAAACTTCCAAAGATTTTTTGATTTTTTTCCTCCACTGTCAATATTTTTTAAGTTTAGATAAGGTCACCCCATTCAAACCCCCGGCCCCCAATAAAAGAAAAATAATTTGTGAAGTGAAAATATTTTTAAGACTGAAGAAATCATACCTTCAAACATGAAAAAAGTGCCATAAATGTTGTACCAGCAAGAACATTTATTTTTTTTCCTATCATAAACCAGCTGATTTTATCTGCTAGAACTTACTTGAAAGGAGGTGAGAGATTTTACATACATTTGTTTTTATGCATACACACCTATATATGCCCGCAACTCCCCCTTTCTTACAGTTAAAAAAGCCTAACATTGACATATTTTTTTACTTATTTTTGACTACTTAGACTAGGGATACTGCAAAGTCTGGATTTTAAAGCTGGAACAATATTTTTTAAGTTCTCAGTTCTAATTTAAGTGAGTGCCTGTGCTAGTAAATAAAAAAAAACCAGCCCGCTTGTAAAAGAGGATTCATAAACTAATTTGAAGTATTTTGGAAAGATTTGCAACAATGAATGAGTAAAAATGCTTAATATATTGGAGTAATTAAAGACAGTTCACATTTGTGGTTTGGGCATAAATGTGTAAAAATTATACCCATCTATCTTATTACATTTCCTTTTCTCTCCCTGAGG